GTTGCAAGGAGGGACTGACTGGTCCTTGGAGAGGGACATCATGTTTGGCAGAGTGGAGGGGCAGCGAAGGAGAGGAAGACCTTTGGTGAAATGGATCGATTCTGTGACTGGAGCGGTGGGAATAAGTGCGTTTGAGATGGCTAGGTTGGCACAGGATAGAACAGCATTTAGAGCTCTTGTACATATAAGGTCGCTATGAGTCGCAAGCGACTCAATGGCACATAACAACAACAACAACTCGGTTATGGTTGGTTTTTTGCAAGTTACAGCAGTATGTCAGGATGCAACTTAAGTTTCCTGCCTCATAAATATCTGCCTTGTTGACATCTTCAAATGAAAAACAAAACCAAAGGAGGCTCTAGTAAATTACTTCATCTTACTTGGATCCATAATCAACACTCTTGATACAAGTCAGGAGATCAAGAGACATATTACACTGGGAATGTCTGTGGTCAGGCATCTCTCCAAATTACTGAGGAGCAATAATGTCAGTTTCAGGACTAAAGTGTGCCTGAATCAGGCCATGATTTTTTCAATCACTTGCCTATGCATTGGAGAGCTGTACAATAAGGATGACAGAAGAATTGATGTCTTTATGCTATGGTGTTGGAGAGAGTATTGAATATCACATGGACTGCCAAAAGAAAAAGATATTTTGGAGAAAGTACAGCCAGAGTGCTCTTTGGAGGCAAGGATGACAATGCTTCATCTTATACATTTTGGGCATGTTGTCAAGAGAGGCTGTTTCTTGGAAGAAGACATCATGCTTGGAAGGCTGGAGGGTCCATGAAAGAGGAACACCTTCAATCAGAAGGATTGGCACAATGACTGCTGCAGTAGGCTCACGTGTGTCATAAATTATGAAGCTGGCACAGGATAGGACAGGGTTCAGATTATTCATAGAGTTGCTATAAGTCATGTTCAACACAACAGCAACTAACAAGAACTAGTGGCCTATTGTGTGAGAAGTTGCAAATTTGAATCCACCAGTTGCCCAGCAGGAGAAAGATGGGGAATCTCCTCCTGTGGGATTTAAAGCCTTTGAAAGCCCTCTGGAGCCAAGTTCTGATACTACAGCAAACCTCAATTATATATCTGCCTCACTGATCTCATAGAGGTTGTTGTTGTTATGTGTCATCAAGTTGCCTGCAACTCAAAGCGATGTTATGTATAACAGCCCTAAACTGTGCTCTATCCTATGCAAATCTTATTGTCTCTGACAGATCTACCCCTTTTACCATAGTCACTGAATCAATACATCTCATCAAGGATCTTCGTCTCCTGTACTGTCCCTCTACCGTCCCAAGAATTACATCCCTCTCCAAGCACTGGTTCCTCTTTGCAACATGTCCAAAGTATGTTAGACGAAGATTCAGAATCCTTGCCTCTAAGGAGAAGCCTTGTTTAATCCTCTCTACGATGAACCTGTTTGTTCTCTTAACAGTCCATGGTATAATCAATACTCTTCTCCAATGCCACAGCGCAAAGGCATCAATTTTCCTTCTATTATCCCTAGTCATTGTTCAGCTCTCTGATGCATAGCAAGTGATTGCAAAGACCATAGCCTGTATCAGGTGCACCTTAGTCTCCAGACTCACATTGTTGCTCTTCAGTACTTTGGCGAGGTCTCTGACAGCAGACTTTCCCCAACACAATACATCTTTCTGGTGCCAAGAGTGTTGATTGTGGAGTCAAGCAAACTAAAGCTGTTTACAATCTCAATCTCTTCACCATCCATTATGATGCTGCCAATTAGCCCAGTGGTGAGAATCTTTGTATTCTTGATATCAATCTTCAATCCATATTGAAATCTGCAGTCCTTGACCTTTTGCAGCAAGCACTTCAGGTCCTCCTCACTTTTGGCAAGCAGGGTTGTGTCATCTGTGTAATGCAGATAGTTGATGAGTCTTCCTCCAATCCTGATGCCACATTTCTTCTCATAAAGCCCAGTCTTGAGATTTGGGGTTTAAGGCCTTGAACACTAATGAGCTAAAACCAGATGAATTGTGAGAAGATATCAAGAACATAATCCAGGAAGAAGGCAAAAAGTCATTACAAAGGCAGAGGGGGAAAGAAAGACCAAAATAGATATCAGAGGAGACTCTGAGTATTGCACTAGAGCACCAAGAAGGCAAAGCAAAGAGAAGAAATCAAGATATTAAGGAGTTGAACAGAAAATTTCAAAGGGCAATGCGGAAAGACAAAGTAAAGTATTTTAATGAAATGTGCAAACACTTGGAGTCAGAAAATCAAAGGGGCTTAACTTGCTTAGCACTTCTTAAGCTCGAGGAATTGAAGAACAAATTCAAGCCTGGAGTTGCAATACTTAAGGATGCTTTGGGCAGAATATGAAATGATCCAGGAAGTATTCAAAGAAGATGAAAAGAGTATACTGAGTACCAAAAGGAATTGGCTGATACAGAAGAAGTTCATAAAACAACTTATGCACAAGAACCTGTGGTGGTGAAGGAAGAAGTTCAAGCTGCTCTAAACGAATTGGCAAAAAACAAGGCCCCAGGAATTGATGGTGTACCGATTGCTATGTTTCAACAAACAGATGCTGCCTAGATGTGCTCACCAAGTTGTGCCAAGAAATCTGGAGGACAACCACCTGGCCAACTGACTATATTTGTTCCCATTCCAAAGAAAGGTGATCTGACAGTTGTTGTTATGTGCCCTCGAGTCGCTTGCGACTCATAGCGACCCTATGTACAACAGCCCTAAATTCTGCCCTATCCAGTGCCAATATCACTATCTCTGACACACCTTCCCCCATTACCCCAGACACTGAGTGTGGAAATTATTAAACAATATCATTGATATCACATGCAAACATGACACTGCTGAAGATTATCCAAAAACGACTGGAACAGAACATCAACACAGAACTGCCAGAAGTGCAGACTGGGTTTAGAAGAGGTGGTGGTACTAGGAATATTGTAGCTAATGTTAGATGAATCTTGGCTGAAAGCAGAGTACCAAAGGTATTTCTAATTGTGTTTCATTGACTATGCAACAAACTGTGGATAACTCTGAGAATAGGAATCCCAGAACACTTGATCCTGCTTATATGTACCTGTACGTGGACCAGGAAGCAGTCATCAGAACAGGGCAAGGGAACACTGCATGGTTTAAAATTTGGAAGGGTGTTTGCCAGGGATGTGTCCTATCTACATATAAAGATTAGAATTTTCAAAATATATAGGTAATGATACTATACTGTAGATTATGATCACATTGACACACAGTACTAACCAGCACAGTTCTACCATCAGAAACATTTTTTTATGCCCAATTACACATAGCAGTTGGTTAACCTTTGAATAACAGCCCAACTCCAAAAGCACTAGACCCAAGGGCTCACTTTCACCCTGAAGATGATTTTGTAGTTCTAAATGACAGTAGTAAATGAGGGACTCACTTTTTTAAAAAAAAATTTATATGTTATTATTTTTTTTCTATAATTATATTTTATTAATTTTCATAAACATTTACAGAGATTTTGGGTTTCCATTCATTCATTGTTGCACTATTCTCTCTACCCTCCTCCCAGTTTGTTCTTGTCCAAATGCCACAGTGCTTGTCAAAGCCAGTTCTGATTAATCTTCTTTGTCAGTGTGTCCTTTGCCATTCCCTATCACTCCTCCCTGAGAGAGACTTCACCCTGAGTCATAAGGAAAAGGGGATGGCGTATTCTCTTAACTACTTCCTGCTGAAAAGGGACGCTGTGGGTTTCAGGGTGAAGATCTTCTCTCACTACTCTAAAGGGCCCCTTTGGCAGTAGGAAACACATAGACTATTATGGAGATTGATTTTGGAATTTAGATGCACTCTTATTGATTGTGCTTGGCCGTACATGTTCATATCCTTGAAGATGTATCATGGGGGTGTTGCAACCTAGAAGACACAAATTTGACTAAAAAGTTATAAGTACATGAGTCCAAAAATTATGGAAAAGTAAAAGAAAAGATTCTTTCATTGTTTTACACACCCTCCCCCAGGTCCCCTCCACCATGTAGCCCTCGCTCTAGTCTCCTGTGATGACAGAAATACCTAGTTATATATCTCTTTTAAACAGTTTTCTCCCTCCTCTGTTTCTTTTTGTGTGAGTATACCGTCAAATCAGATCTGATTGTCCCTCCTTCCCCGGCAGAGCATCTGGTGGATTCGAACCGTGTGCATCTGGGATTGTAGTTGCAGCTCCTTGCCACTAGGCCACCAGAGCTCCGAGGGACTCGCTTTTAACCTCTACAGAAATGACAGTCGTTGTCACTAGGCTTTCCGCGCAGAGGCTTTTCTGTAAAAGTCACGAAAGACTACGTGTTCCTGAAAGACTAAATTTTTAATGCAAAACCGTTTACAGTAGGACACTTGACTCGCTAGGCTCTGCCCCTTCCGCCTTGGCTCCGCCCATCTCAGCGATGCTAGGTCCAGCATCGCTTCCCAGCAGGCGGAACAGGAAGTGTCTGGTACTCGGTTAGCTCTTCACCCGGAAGCTGAAGTCATAAGTACTGGATGCCAGTGAAGACGCTGTCTCATAGTGGACTTCCGGGCGCGCTTGTGGCTTCCGCCTTCTGGTTGGAATTCCCGATACGAACTCCCTGGCCAGTGGTCCCCCGTAACTGTCGCCATGGGGATTCTGGAGAAGATCTCCGAGATCGAGAAGGAGATTGCTCGGACGCAAAAGAACAAGGGTGAGGGCGCGCCTGGCGGGACCTTCATTCTGGTCGCCTCAGTTTTCCTATCTATAAAGTGGGGGAGCAGCTCCAAGTAGGGCGGGCCTGAGGTCGCGAAGAAATGCCACAGAGGGACCTAAGCCTGGTATCGCCCCTGAGTTAGGGCCAGCTGGGTGGCACATCAGGTGATTGTCCTGAGAAATTCTAGCTTACAGAGCAAGCAACAAACCAGAGTCAGGCAGGGCCTGCATTTTTTTAATGGTCACTCTTGGGGATTTCGTGCCACGAAGCCCCGGAGCAGCAGCACCCTGCAGCTGGGAGCCCACGAGAAGGGGTCGGCCAGGCCTGTTTACCCAACTTTGAAGCCGTCAACAGTAACTTCACCTCTGAGATTTAGCTTCTTTTCTTGCAAATGGTAATCTCAGACTCTGCCCACCTTCCCTCATAGCACGGTTCAATTAGGTAGCGTTTGCAAGATGCTGGGTGTGTGTGATGGTGCTCTTGCTTCAGTTCCTGAGGCCTGCGGTTTTCAGTCTCTCTCACTGTCTTCCTCCTTTTGGCTAACCCTCAACTTTACCAAACGTGATGTACTTCTTCAAGATCCTTTCTTCATGATCCCTCCTGATAACATGTCCAAAAGACAGGAGACACAATTTTGCCATCCATCATTCTACCCATGCTTTATCTGAGACATATTTTATTAGTCCTGTCTTATCTCCATACCATTTCAACCTGTATGCAGAACAGATTATCCGAGAGGCTGGGTCCAATGAGGGGAAGTGTGGGTCCAGGATTGGTGGAAGATCTATTAATCTGCGAATTGCAGATGACACAACCCTGCTTGCTGAAACTGAGGAGGACCTCATGCACTTGCTGCTGAGGGTCAAGGACTGCAGCCTTCAGTATGGATTGAGGCTCAATATCAAGAAGACAAAGAATCTGACCACTGGACCAATTGGCAGCATCAGGATGGATGGTGAAGAGATTGAGATTGTTAACAACTTTAGTTGGCTTGGCTCCACGGTCAACACTCGGCACCAGCAGCCAGGAAATAAAAAAAAAACGTATTGCGAAGGGAAAGGCTGCTATTAGGGACCTCTCCAGGCTACTGAAGAGCAGTGGTGTCACTCTAGAGACTAAGGTGCATCTGATACAGGCTATGGTCTTTGCAATCACTTGTTATGCATCAGAGAGTTGTACAATAACTAGGGAGGGTAGAAGGAGAATTGATGCCTTTGAGCTGTGGTGCTGGAGAAAAGTATTGAATATACCATGGACTGCCAAGCAGACAAACAGATTCATCCTGGAGAGGGTTAAACCAGGCAACTCCTTGGAGACAAGGATTCTGGGGCTTCGTCTGATATACTTTGGACATTGTAAGCAGGGACAGGTCCTTGGAGAGGGACATCATGCTTGGGAGGGTGGAGGGACAGTGCAGAAGGGCAAGGCCCCCTATGGGGTGGACTGATTGAGTGACTGGGGTAATTGGGATGGGTGTGTCGGAGGCAGTGTGATTGGCACAGGATAGAGCAGGGTTTAGGGCTGTTGTACATAGGGTCGCTGTGAGTTGCAAGCGACTCAACATCACATAACAACAGTGTAGTCTGTCTCACTGCAGTGGAGTTGCTACTGATGTAGCTTATAGGTTATCCTCTATACTATTTTCAGAGGCACAGGATGAAATTGACCATTTTTCTCTTTAGGATGGGCTGGTAGATTCAAAGTGCTTCCTTTTAGGATGACAGTGCAACTCCTTACTTGCTAATCCACCAGAATTACTAAGGCATGGTATTCAGTCTTTACCACAAAAACAGTAACTCTTGTGCTTTTATTCTCCAGCTTTCAAATGCATATGATTAAAAATTCCATAGCTTGGAAGGATCTGCGGGTGTGTGAGTGTGCATGCGCGTGTGAGTGTGTGGACAAGGAGGTGAGGGCAGTGGAGTTAGAATATCAACTCCTTGGACTCCATTTGTGATTCTCTTTTTTCCTCCCGTAAACCTGTCCGGTGGTGTTTGGTATTATATTTGCGTTTCTTTTCATTCAGTTTCAAATTTTAGGGTTGGGGGAGGTCAGGAAAGAGGAAGTGAGGAGACTAGTGGCAGAAGAGGAGGTGGAGGACTTGGAGATGAAGAAGAGAATTAACTTGGAGTTAAGGAACAAAGCCCTGAAGGAGGTGACAAGAGTTAGTCCTTGATAATTGCCGATGTGTCAGTGGAGAAATTGAGGGCCTAAATGATAATTTTAAAGAATTAGAGTCTTTAATAAGTATGACTGATGTGGAATTAAGTTCACTGGCTCTGACTTCCCAGCTTAAATAAACTTTGAAAGTTAGAACTTGAGTAACAATAACAGTAGTATTTCTGGAGGCTTGGAAGTGCTGGCAGAGAAATGTCCAAATCTTACCTACCTCAATCTGAGTGGAAATAAAACTGAAGATCTCTGTACAGTAGAAGCTCTGTAAAATCTTAAAAATTTGAAAAGTCTTGGCTTGTTTAATTGTGAGATCACAAACTTGGAAGATTATATTTTTGAACTGCTGCAGCAAATTACATACTTGGATTTGATCAGGAGGATAATGAAGCACCTGAAGCATCTAACAGGATGATGATGAAGATGAGGATGAAGAAGATGAAGTTGGGCCACCTGAAGGATATGAAGAGGAGGAAGAAGAAGATGAGAGTGAAGATTATGATGAAGCAGGCTCAGAAGAGGGAGAGGAGGAAGTAGGCCTCTCATACTTAATGAAAGAAGAGATCCAGGATGAAGAAGATGATGATGACTGTCTTGAAGAAGGAGAGGAAAAAGAAGAAGGTCTTTGAGGGGAGAAGAGGAAACGAGATGCTGAAGATGAAGAAGAAGAAGATGACAACTAGCTCATTCCGAGCTTCATTTTCTAATGTTCTTGGGTTTGTAAAAGGGTGATCATGTCATCTTTATTTCTTTATGGACGATAGCTATCCTTACTGAAAATACCATGTTAACTTTCTATAGGAAAAGTGTGGTTTTACTGTTTTTGCCTTTTTATCATTCCAACTAAGATTTATTAGTCTATTAATGATCATATTGTATGTAGAGACAATTTTTCATTACCCTTCCTAGTTGTGAAATACCCTAGAAATTTATTTGGAATCTTAATTTTTCTAATTCATGCTCACTGCTACAGTAATTTTTAGCCCATAATTAAAATCTGATAGCTCTTGCCCAGGT